AGGCTTTTATATCAGTATACAGTAGGTCCTCGGGTCACGTCAGATTCCATTCCTACTGCACAATGTAATGTGATTTTCGCTGTAAGTCGGAACCAACCTACATAAGCACCTACGTCACTCACATGGAGCACATACACAGCGTAATGAAGTGAAACAGTAAAAAAAAAAAAAATTAAAAGAAAGATAACAATTTATGACCTTTACTTGTGGTAAATAAATAATAAAAAACAAAGCACATATGTACATACATTGAAATGACAGAACTTTTTTTTTTAAATAAATAAATGGGAGATGGCGACGTAACCACGAAACAATGTACATCAAGTCCGTTGTAACCCGATGACTGTTGTATATAAATTAATAAGACAAGGTTGTGTGTCGACATAACAACTAAAAATACAGTAAAAACAGTATAAAATTAACAAACTACTGCATAGGGAAAATAAATAATAAAAATATATCATTCCCTCCCCCCAAAAAAAACATAAAAGAAAAAGGGGGAGGGGAGAAACACCCGAGGCAAATAGGAAACAAACAATGGAATGGCACTTTGGCTCCTTCTGAAAAATCCTCCCTAGTCATTCTAAGGTATTTAGTAAATGTACTAACAACTGCATAGTTGCAAACCCAAAAGCATATAATCACATTATCCTCTGATTAATTTTAAGCAGAAAGTTAATACATTTAGGCAAATTCCAGAGACCCTGTAACACCAAATACTTTACTTTGAATCCTAATTTTTGATGACAGCAAATATAAGTTAAAGGATCAGGATATGATGTAAAATAACTATAAATTTAATCTCATAATCTACAATTTTGCTTTTATAAATCTAATGCATTTGAAATACTGTTTGTGCTAGAATTTAGGTTCTTGGGAATTTTATGCTTGCACTGGGATATTAATATGTGAAGAAATTTAGCTACTGCTTAAGCAGCACTTGGAAATAAAAAAGGGATTGCTCTACTAGAAAACTTAAGTATAATCAAAACTTTAATATATACTAATTCAGCCAGGTTCATCATACCCATTTTCAATGAGACAAAAATAAAACAGTCCCTTAGGGACAGTTTAAATCACAAAATGATTCAGTTTAACCTTTTGGTTAATTAAGGAAATTTTCTGCAAAACCAATGTCATTAGCAAAAAAACCACAGACTCAAATATTTTAATTAGTGGAGCTGTGGTAGTGTAAGCCTTTCATGCACATTGATATATTTTTTATTTAATAAATTGTTAAATTCAAAATATGTCTATGTGTATTTACACACACAAACACACACAATATTTAATTATATCCCAATAATTTATCAGGGAAATGTTACTATCTCTAATGTGTAAACTGAAATTTTAAGATTTAGCCAGGCTACTACTGCCTGCACAAAATCCCAGAATAAATTTGTCACAGAAAAGGGTCTGGGTTTCCAATCTTCTACTGTCTCTAGCTAGCACATGATTCTTTCAAAATACAGTCTGTCTGTCCCAACTGCAAACAAATAATTTCAAATCACAGGGGATTCTATTCAGGATTTCTCTGCAGATTCATGCTGAACAATTGATTAAGCACTGTGCTATCTTTTCACAGCCTCCAAAATCTATTTTCAACTCCCACCCTCATCAAAACATGACGAGGTTTTATGACAGTGACGGCGAACCTATGACACGCGTGTCAGAGGTGACACGCGAACTCATTTTTTTGGTTGATTTTTCTTTGTTAAATGGCATTTAAATATATAAGATAAATATCAAAAATATAAGCCTTTGTTTTACTATGGTTGCAAATATCAAAAAATTTCTATATGTGACACGGCACCAGAGTTAAGTGAGGGTTTTTCAAAATGCTGACACACCGAGCTCAAAAGGTTCGCCTTCACTATTCTATGAGATGAAAAGGTAAGACACAAACAATAATAATATTTGTCATTTATCACTAAGACCAAACTTCACTGACACCATGTATTCATTCCATAACTTTAGCATTCATTTTACAAATATTTATCTTTGTACTATAATACACCAATCACTGCTTTGAACCCTAAAAAGTGCTGACAAGAATTTCATGGTCCCCATACATATGTGATTCTTAAGGCCTAGAAGAGTAAACACTCATTCATTTTTTCATTCAACAAGTATTTATTGGCTTTCAAAAACTAACAAGGCATTCTGTTACTAGTAGATACTGAGAATCCTCTGGTGAGTTCTGTCCTTACTTACATGATGCTAAGAGTCTGGCAGGAAGTTAAACATCAAATAATCACACAAAAAGTACATATAATACACATTATATATAAAGATTAGTGCACTGTGCAATATATGGTAACAAGGCTACTTGCCTTGTGAATAAGAAAGATTTCATGAGAAAGAACATTTAAGTTGAGATCTAAAGAATGAATAAAAGTACGTTAGTTGCAAAAAAAAATCTTCCTAGAAGAGGGGAAAACAAGCAAGGACTATGTTGTGAAAGGAAACATTATTAGAAAACTCAAAGAAGGCCACTGTGGCAAGAATAGGAGAGAATAGTTTGAGATGATGTTGCAGAGAGACGCAATGAAAAGACCATTCGAAGCTTCAGAGAACACACTAAAAGTGTTGTGTTCATTCCTAAAAGTGAGGGCAATTCATAGAAAATTGTTTAAAAGGGGAGAAAAAAAGGAATAGCATGATTCTATTTAAAAAAAGAAAAAAGAAAAGAACATCTCCCAACTAGCTATACAGGCAGTGGGTTGAAGGATTGCAATAGTCTAGGAGTCCATGAGAGATAATGCCATTTTAAAATTGAGAGTAGCAGTAAAGTAGGAAAAATAGATTTAAGAGAAATTCAAGAGGTAAAATTGCAGGATTTAATGACGCCTTGGATGTAGAGAAATGCAAATAAGGAGCTCTCTGTTTGCGGCTTGCAGGACTAAATGAATTGTGATGGTGTTTCCCGTGATAGAAAATATTAGAGAAGGTGTGGGGTCCTAAAGGGGAGGACATGAGTCCACTTTTGGAAATGTTGAGTTTGAGTTGCTTTTGAGATATCCAAGTCACGATGTCAAGTGAGTAGCTAAACATCTGGACTGGAACTTAAGAGAGAGAGGGGAATATAAATCTGGAAGACACTGATATACAAACAGTACCTGAAACTTTGAGTGTAGATAAGAGGCCATAAAGAACTTGAACATTTAGACAGAGACAGGCCACTGAGCCACTCTGGTTCCAACTGTGAGCCAGAGGTGGGGCTTAACGCACTTAAGGGTGTTGTTAAGCAGAAGCCGAGGAAGGCCCTAAATTACAGTCAAGTGTCAGGTGTCAATGCTGCCAGGAGTTCAAATCAGATAAGACCTAAAAAATTACAATGCAGTAAGACTGGGACTAAAGTAGAATTAAGTGTAAAATGCAGTAAAAGCCTAGAAATGGGGAATCTCCTCTCAAAGTAGAAAAGAGTTGGTCAAAACAAGTTGATGTTTAAGCTGTGTTTGAGGAATGCATAGGAGTATCCCAGGCAAAGCAGTTGAGGGACAAAAAGGCGATGTGTAGAGAAGGTATTGCTATTCCTCAAAAAGGAACAAAAGTCTGCATTGGGGTGATCGATGTCAAAATCCTAAGCCTCACATTTCTTGATTAGTCATCCTAGTCATTTTCAATTATTTTAGCTTCCACATCTTAATGGGGCAAAATAGAAATCCTCACATAGCACCCTAGCTTTGGTCACTGTCCCCCGAACCCACAAAATCAGAACATGGCAGGCAAGAAACACAATGTTAACCCATCAGCAAAAATCATATAAAGTCTCAGCCTCAGGAAACCAAAGTTGAGAATTTCTAATTGATTATGCAACAGAATGAATATGAAAGTTAAAGGTTACGAAAATGATCAAATCAGAATGTACGAAAATTAACTAGAAAGATTTGTGAACATATAAGATAAAGAATAACGTTCCCCCTCTTACATTGTCAGCAGAGGCTTTGAGTCATAGAACTATGGCCACCTTCTAAGGAAGTGGGAGCAAAGTATCTTTTTAAGAGTCCACAAATGACAAATGCTAAATTCCAATTTCACATATTGATACACTGAACTGAGAATACTCAAAATGAAAAACTATAGGAAACTTGAACATTAGAATAGTTGATTTAGAGCCAACGTAGTAAAATGGTGTTTATCCACTAAAATACTATAATACAAGTTATTTTGTTCACAAGATAAATCAGGAATAAACTTTTTCTATATCCAGTAAAATTCAAAAGAATAATTGCTAAACCCTCCGTGTCTCTCCCCTTTGCCATGTTTTAACATTCATGTAACAATTATCACTGTTATTACTTTGTGAAATTTAAATTTTAAAGGAAAATTAAACGTCTCTGTGTGTGTGTGTGTGTGTGTGTGTGTGTGTTTTCCACATTTACCTGCCATTTCTGGTTGAGAATGCATTTAAATCACATGCATATGAATACACTTAGGTTGCTTTTCTCTAAAAATGGGCTTTCAGGAATTACATGGGATTAAATTTTGGTGTGAAATCCGTGTTTCCCACCGTTATCTTGAAGCCTGTTCTAGTGTGTTTAAGCATAACTCCATGGGGGACAATGAATGACATGATGGCTCATTTCTTCCTCCCATGTCTACCTAACCTTCTATGTTGGCTTCTTTCCTTTTTCTGCCTCACATTCTGGCAAATGTGTCCTCTTTGTTGCGCAGTACACGAAAGGAACTGAAAATAAGGACACTGTCCTTGGCCGACTGCCTAAAACCACAAATGATATTATATAATGCGTCCCTTCCGACGGAAAAACAGATGGAACAGTTTCCTTCAGGGGACCTGCAAATGGCCACAGGTAGGGACTTTGCTGGGTCTACATGTTTACAGCAGAGAGATGTTGGGAAACCTTGTCAAGGGTGAGGCCCCGCACCGCAGACCGCTGCAGGAAGGGCGGGCCATGGGTTGCAGAGATGACAACACGGGGAGAGGCCCGCGGGCCGTACGCAAGAGGGTGGGGACACCCTGGGCCGCGAGGTGGTACCTGCGCGGGGTCGAGCGCCCCTGGCACTGAATCCGCGATCCAGAGATGCTCCCGGAGCAGCTGCTGGTAGCTGAGGCAGTGCTTCACCGCGGAGGGCACATTCCCCATGCGGGGCCGGGCCTGCAGTCTGCGATAGGCGGGAGCCTGGAGAGAGGGATGCGGGCGGCACCGCGCCCCCGAAGCTGCCGCCCGCTCGGGAGCGCCGCCCTGCCCGTGCGCGCGGCGGGCACCAGCGCGGCTCTGCGCACTGCGGCGGCGCCCACAAGGCTGAGAGCCTGCCGCGCCGCGCCCCGGGCGCCGGAGGTACCTGCTGGGACGCCCGCAACACCGGAACCTGAAAAGAGAGGAAGGAACTGAGCCCACGGACGTTCAGGTGCGGCGCGTTTTTCACGCTGCGCAGGGCCGATTGCATCTGCACACGATCCACTTAACCGACTTCTCACCTGATTCAGATCGTCCGCCGCAGGAAAGGGGTCTAATAAAGGGAAGAGGGCATGTGTTTTGTGTTGGTGAGTTTGCTCATTCCCAGCTGCAGCCTTTTGCGCTCAGTGTCGATTTGTCCAGCATTGAACTCACTCGATTTTAAAATATTTTGAGGCAGTTTTCAAGGTTAAAATACATATACAAGAACCTAATAAAGAAGAAAATAGTGAAGGTGCAGAATTGTTACAGATGACTTGGTAAGTCAGTAAGTTGTCAATAAGTTGGTCCTACAAGTACAACTGAAATGGAATTGAGTTGCTTAAAAGACACGTGACACAAAATTATTGAAGCCCTAAAGGCTAAATTCATTCGAACTGAAAATTCTGAAAGAAATCATAAGACTTTAGAAGAGGAGTGATCTTGGTAGGGAGGAGGTTGGGAAGCAGGTCCTGGGACAGACCACCTCCTTGCCTTCCCCTCTCTCACAAGCACACCTGCATCACATGGACCCACTCTAACACTCTAGGTTAGTGGTTCCCAACCTTCCTAATGCCGCGACCCTTTAATACAGTTCCTCATGTTGTGGTGACCCCCAACCATAAAATTATTTTCGTTGCTACTTCATAACTGTAATTTTGCTAGTTATGAATCATAATATAAATATCTGATATGCAGGATGTATTTTCATTGTTACAAATTGAACATAATTAAAGCATAGTGATTAATCACAAAAACAATGTGTGATTATGTATGTTTTCCGATGGTATTAGGCGACCCCTGTGAAAGGGTCGTTGGACCCCCAAAGGGGTCGCGACCCACAGGTTGAGAACCGCTTTTCTAGGTCCATCAGCCTGCAACTGAATAGACATATTCATCAAGAATTGTCTCGTACTAGCACGTGTGCATGGCTAGGGATACCAGTCAGTCCCACCAGTTGTTGCAGCAACTATAAATCAGGAGCTGACTAATGCCCACACAGTTGCACAACCAGATGAACGGGTACAAAGATTACATTGTAAAACGTAGTATAATCCCACTTAGAATTTAGCACCCAGAATAAACAAGCCATCATTACTACTTGTGACGGTGGTGTGACTACCCCTAGCAACAGAAATCAGGGTGTAAGGACAAAAAACGCAAAGAAGGGGAGAGGTATCTTCTTTAGTGAAACAGAACTAAAATGGTCCAGGCGACCATTGGACTAAGGAGATCTTAAACTTCTCACAGCTTCGGCCACAGATAGTCACCTTGGAGAACATACTCTGAGCTCCCTAAGTGAAGTCGTACAATTATTAGAGACCCTTAAAACTCTCTAAAGTACCAACATTTCCCATTATGACTTTTATAGGTATATATATATAGGGCTAAATCTAAATCTCTCTTATATGTTGTTTTCAGCAGAGGTCAATGGATAATTATTTTCCTATCACAGCTGAAATGCAACATCAATGCCTATTTTCTCCCCCTGGTATAATTCTATAATAGGGAACACGGTATTTGAAAGAATTTAAAAGGACCCAATTTGAACAATAAAGTACAGTGGGGCCTTGACTTACTAGTTTAATTCGTTCCGTGACGGAGCTCGTAACTCAAATTACTCGTATGTCAAATCAAAAAGTGAGACACGTGATGCTGGGCTGATGTTGTGGCGTTCACTGTGACGTTCGCTGCGCCAACTATCGGTGGGGTATCTGAAGCTGGCTCCTAACCTGAATTTTAGCTCACAACTCAAAGCAAAAAATCGGCCAAGAGACGGCTCGTATCTCGAAAAACTCGTTAGTCGGGACACTCATAAGTCAAGGCCCCACTGTAACTGCAATGGAGTCAATCATTCAAAACTTGAAAAAATTTTGACAATTACAGTTGAAATCTAAACTTCAGGGAAATATGACCTCTAAGTAAGCCAAGTTGTTGTATGCACCTTTGCTACTGAGAAAAAGAACACCTAGATATAAACTTTACTGCTTAGTTTTCTGAATATGAAGATTTTCAAAAAGCATCCCATTTAATTTAGCATAGTAGTAGTTTCTTTAAAAAATCTTATACATATGAAAATATTTGTTGACAGTTTTATCTTAATGCAGTTCATATGGAAAAATGCTATAAACTAAAGATTTTACATATAGTTCCTGCAAATACCAAAACCATTTGCAATAATGAAGACCAAATATCTTAATAAGAGTGTTTAATCTTAGAAATAAAAGGGGATGAAAATAGATGTGCTTTTTCTGGAATGTACAGTTTTATGTTAAATCTAATCAGTAATGCCTAAAATGCCTGGATTTGAGCAGTTAGTATTACTGTACTTCTTGCCTGTTATTTTTTTCCATGATTAAAATGAAAATTCTCAATATGCATCCTCATTATTGCAGATCTAAAGAGCTCTAGGTGTGGTAGGTAATGTATCTTCTCCCCCTATATGATAGGTTAGGAGACCGTGGCTCCATCCGAACAGCAATCACTTGTTAAAAATCACGAATTTGGTTAGTGGCATATCCTGACCTGCACTCCATATTACTCTCACTGCATCATATGACTTGTATTTGTATTTCATGACATTTCAATCATTCAAACAGAGGAAGATACAAAAATTCATTGCAAATTAAAAGGAACTAAATTTTCTGTTTTCTGTAGTGACTTTAAGTCACAGGCAAAATATTTTATTTTACCTGTCTGTCCTGAATTGTTTTCAACTACCTTCTCTCTTTAACTGTGCACCCCAAATCCAATCTGTCAATCAGAAATGTTAAACATCTTAGACCCATCCACTGTCTCTCTGTTCTTCTGTTGACGTCTCTCTGCTGCACTTCTTTCCTCTTTGAAAGGCACTGCCATAGTGCAGTGTTGATTTTTGATTATCTGGGAGGGGAACCTGGCCCCTTTTAATTTTATTGTTCAGTTATAGTTTACATTTAATATTACTTTGTATTGGTTTCAGATATAATATTTACCACCGTTCTAACTTGTAAATGTTCCTATGGTTATTGTATTTGCACATATTATTTCAAAACATTCTGGAGTTCCTGTACCTTCTGGGAAAGTGAAGGTAGGAGCCAACATATGCTGAATTGAACTAAGAACATTAAATTTATCCCGGAGAACCTGAGGATCTTACAACATAGTTCTCATATCTTCATTAATCCACATGAAAGAAAACTAAACTGAAGCCACATACTCTTCATACCCCATCCCACACATGTTCCCTCTCCTCCATATAAAATGATGACAATAGGTTATAGAGTTGTGCTTTGCTTACATCCTAAACAAAGGCTCTCAAAAACAGAATGGGGAAGGGTTTGTATTACAGAGAGCAGTCAATCCCAAACCCCGTAGATTGACAGTATCAACCCCCTCAAGTGCCAAGTCCTTGAGGGAGAAGGGTCCAGTTAAAACAGCTTATCTTCAAACTCCCTTTGTTCCCAAAGATGAGTATTTAAGAGTCTGTATGATGGCAACATGGATAGAATCAGAAGCAAATGAAAAAAATTAAATTGTGGTAGTAGTAAGTGCCAAACTGGCATGTAGTCAAAGTACCTACTGGGCAGGGATCAAAGACACATATGGTGAGTCTCAAACAATGATGTCATAGAACTTTGGCAAGTATCGCAAGAGTAATATGCTCCAGCCTTAAACAATACAAAAGAAAGAACGGAAACAACTTGGTTACCAATCCCGGATGATATCTAAGGGGAAGTAAAGCTTTCATCATCTCAGTTTTATTGCTGAAAAATTTAGAAAACTTCTCACAGACGTTATGTCTAGTTGATCTAAATTGATGGGAAGGATAACAGAGTGTTTTAAAACATTCTTGGCATTTGGTCACTAAAATCAAACTTCCATTAACAATAGCATTGTCCTGAAATAGAGCATTCTTTTGAGAAAAAGTAATGATCTATTTTACCAGAGTAACACCCCACCCCAGGTTATGGATACCTGGCACTAGATACAGAAATCAGAACAAAGCTGCAGACCACATTTCTCCAGATGTAAAAGCCTATTTATTCTTTTACTAACTCAGAAGATTCCAAAAACATTAGCTTTGCCAAATGTATTATATAAGAAAGATACAGACATCACTGTTATTAGTTTATTAGATGGCTGCAGTGTACACAATTTTTGCCAACACTTATAAAAGTATCTTTTAATTCCATTGCCTACAAACGCACTCTATTTGGAAAATGTTTTTATCAATCAGTTGATATATTTTGATGTGTTACAGTAAACAGACCTTAACAGGTAAATTATATTAACTCTTGCCCACGGACGGTATCATTCTTTGAAACTGGATCAAGTACCATTGTATGAGAAGACAAGTCAATGTTGACTACAAATCCAAAGCACTTTGTGTTTTGTACTGCACATAGTCAGTGCTTAATAAGTCTTAGCTTTCTTTTTCCTCTTATTGAATCATATCAATTCACTGTTAAGAATGTATGTGACATTGCCACAGTTAAAGGGAATCTGTAAAACCCAAATTTAATTACTTCTATAGAACATTAGTTTAATCCACTAAGATATTTTTATGTGTTTTTTAAATCCAATACTCAATAGCTAGTGGGAAAATAAATATAAACAGATATGTAAGATATGCCTTTTTGACTTTAAAGATCTCGCATTCAAATGGCAATATCAGATGAAAACTAGTTAGAAATAGTAGGTAGTGCAGATACAATTTAATCAGAGAAATGTAAGAAATTAAATTCCAAAATTATATAATCTTGATAAAAAATTATAGCAGGATTTACATATTCATCAAA